ATTCTTTAGTAGTATTATCGATACTACTTGTAAGCTGCATGTTAGTAGTATGAGTCATACATAGAGTAAGTAGTATTATCACTGCCATATTGTTTATCCTTTTTTTCACATTGTTTATTTATAAATATATTTATTAATATTATTATTATTATTATTACGTCTATTGTTGATTTATTCCTCCTGACCAGTGAACTGATTCATGATGAAATACATGAATTTGTCTGTCAATCAGGAGGAGCAAATAATGAGATTAAATAATTTTTTTTGTTAAATTCCCTAATTTATCAATAAAATTGTATTTATAGTGTTGTGTTTGATTATTCCTGCTTACTACTACCACTACTACTTATGAAAATAATAGTAGTAATAATAATAATATTAATATTTATTTGTATAATGATTATTATTATTATTATTATTTGTTGTTATTATCAACAATTGTTATTATCATTGTTGTAGATAAATTATTCTATTGTTACTGGGAATTTTAAATAAATATTGATTAGGTTGATTATAATTATTATGATTGTTATTATTATTATTATTATTCTCATTATAAAATAAATACTTCATAATTACTATTGAATAATTATTACAATCATAGAGAGAGAGAGAGATTGGGCAAAGTTGTATATTATTTTCCATGAATGATTGATATCATTTGGAGAATAATTGACAATCAACAGTGTCTGTCAAGAGATTTTACTTAATTACTTACTTACTTATGCACTTACTTACTTACTTACTTACTTATGCACTTACTTACTTACTTACTTACTTATGCACTTACTTACTTACTTACTTACTTATGCACTTATGCACTTACTTACTTACTTACTTACTTACTTACTTACTTACTTACTTACTTACTCACTTACTTACTTACTTACTTACTTACTTACTTACTTACTTACTCACTTACTTACTTACTTACTTACTTACTTACTTACTTACTTACTTACTTACTTACCTACTTATGCACTTATGCACTTACTTACTTACTTACTTACTTATTTACTTACTTACTTACTTATGCACTTATGCACTTATGCACTTACTTACTTACTTGCTTACTTACTTACTAATGCACTTACTTACTTATGCACTTACTTACTTACTTACTTACTTATGCACTTATGCACTTACTTACTTACTTACTTATGCACTTACTTACTTACTTACTTACGCCTATTACTCCTTCTGCAGTATAGGTCACCGTCCAACGATTTCCTATCAACTCTGTCCTGGGTTCTCTTTCCTGGTTGTTCCTAATCGCTATTCACTCTTTGTATGTCCGACTCCACTTCCCGATGCAGTATGTTCTTTGGAGTTCTTCCTCTTTTCTTCTAAAGTTGAAAATTTCGAGTGATGGGCCACCTTTTGATGTATTTGGGTAATTTACTCAATGTGGGCCCCGTCGAAATCTTGTTGCTTTTTCCTAATTTATTCCTCATTTATGAGTGTTGGTTTATTCTCTCCCACTGTAAATTGTTATTGATGATATTTAACCAACGGATTGTTAGTATCTCGCTCAGACAATTGTTAACAAACGTATGTATCTTTTGGATGATAACTGTTGTAGTTCGCCAACTTTCTACTCCATACAGTAGAACGGTATTGACGTTTTTCATTGAAAATTGTAACTTTAGTATTGGTCGATAGTTGTTTTGAATTCTTCGAAGTTCTTCAATTGTAGAAATGTTGCTCTTGCTTTTTCCAATTCGTGCTTTTACATCTGCATCAGATCCGCTTTGTTGATCAATAATACTGCCCAGATATCTATCTAAAGGTTTTTATATCTTTCAGTGTTTCTTCATCCATTCTGATTTGGTTGACGTATGTTGTGTTGTATCGGAGGATTTTACTTTTTCCCTTGTTTATGTTGAGACCTATTGTTGTAGAGGCTGTATGTATGTTTGATTTTATCACATGCTCACTAGTAGTGATTAGCTTTAAACAACAAATCCACCAATCCTACTGAGAAGTTGTACACGAATGCTATTCAGTTATGTTATACACCAGAGCCAATGAAAGATGATCACACATCATTATGAACTGATCAAAGTTATGCATTAACACCCCCGTTGATGATAACTCAATGATCTGAAAATTAAGAATTTCACCATGATCCCAAAAAATTTCGACCACTCCTACATGATTGATGGTTGTTTTTATATTGGGAATAATTCATATGGTTTGTAAAAATTATTCTCAATGAATTTATGAATACAGAAGTAAACTATGCCTAGTAGTATCAAACAACTACAGTTTCATGGTTAGGTCATTTAGTTTAAGTAACATAACACGATTGACAATATTTATTTATAATAATAATAATAATCATAACAATGGGTGATGAGTTTGAAGACGATAGCGAAATCAGCAGTGACACTAGAAGAAGAGAGCATGCTTTCTCTCTCTCTCTCTCACACACAAACACACACATCTACACATGACTATAAATACCTGCTCATATATCTCAAGGTTAACTTCTAGGAAGTTTTCTTTCTTTTAAAACAAAATTCAATAGTCAATTATTTCGCAGTAATAAAGATGAATTAATATCAATAGTATATAAAATAGTTTTGAGACGTAGACATTTCACTGAAACGAATGACATTAAAACTAGCCTGCCATGACAGTCATGAGAAAGAAAAATCGAACATCTTTTTTTTTTCTGAAAGAGTTTAAACTCAACCAAAGAATCATGACATACATAGCTAATGAACATAAAATATAAATATTGAACAAAGCACATCTCATTCTGTCCACATTGGATCAGTGAATTTTTGCAATTTATGCATACGTGTTTGTATGTCCATTCGCTGTCATTGTTGTTTTAAATTGTGGCTTCCAGTGTGTGTGTATGTGTATTTTCATCAGACCAGTGGATGTGTTTTTTCGTTGTTGTTGTTGTAGTGTTCTTGACTATATTATATGTAATATCTTTTTTTCCCCAATAATTTGATCTATGTGTCTGTTTGTCTAATTTGTAATTGTACCCTAAAGTCTCCCTTGTATATTATTATTATTATTACTGGGAATAAATTTTTTTTCCTTTTTCATTGCTGTGATGTGAATTGCTTTCTTCCTCATCCCATTTTTATGTAAATTCAATGAGTAAGTAAATGAATGAGTTCTTTTGCTACTTGTCCTGATGTCGTTCTACTACAACAACAACTACTACTACTATTACTAATGTCAGTATTCTATGATGTACTTACTTGATCAGTCTTTTATCATCCATCCTCTTTTCTTGTTCAATTATTTTTGAAAATAAACAACTAAAAAAACACACATACATACACAAATGAGTGTATCCGGACACATACACAAGCTACATACACATCAGTGTATATATATATATATATACATTTTGGGAAATTGAACATTGTCACAGACATACACACACACACATTATCTCTACTATCATATTATACATAGAATTTCTAATCTCATTTTTGGTACAGACATACTCATTTGAGACATGTTCGTTAGTCAATTTCCCTAAAAAATAAATATCAAAGTCAAAAATGAAATGATTTTTATAGATACATATATACATATATATATATAGATAGATAAATATTGAAATTTATCATTTACACTCATACAAAAAGATAAACACTAATTTGGAACATGATCAGTTTGTTTTAAATGGAGTATTATCATTCGAATTATTATTTCTACACTTGATATAATTGGGATTATAATCAATATTATTCATCATTTTCATTATTGGTGAATTTTATCGACCATCGTCATATAATTTGGATTATAATTTGAAAAAGAAAATTCTCTGTGTTTGGATATAAACATTGAAATATTTAACAAAATCAAAAGTTTATTTTTGATGAATTTCTAAATTCTGAGTATACAAGGAAATAATTAAGTATAGAGAGAGAGAGAGAGGAAGAATGTGTCATCAACTGGTTTGATTTTTATGTGTCTATATATCGTGATCGATCGATTGATTGATTGACTGATTGATTGATTGATTCAGTGTACACAAATTTATCTGATCCTACTATCTCCTATGTATCAAATGTTCATTGATCAAGTTCATTTAAATTTATTGACTTCATTCATTGATTGGAATTTTAAACAACAAATTCAACTATATGAATGTAATGTTACCTAAGCACTACATTTGAAAACCGATTGGATAAGTGACATTCTCTTATCGATATCATTTTGTTTTTCCAAAAATTGTAGTGTGAATAAAAGGGAATTCTTGTTGTTATTGTTGTGGTTGTTGTAGTAGGCTGATTAACAATGGCGATCTTTCTAGTGAACTGTCATAGATAATTATTGCATATGCGTACATCATGGATTGTTGTTTTTCCTCGAACTTTTATATCAATGACAATCTAGTTTGTTTGTTTTTTTCTCTAAGAAGAAAAATATGTATTTTCTAAAATCTCAAAGACAAATGTTACTTTGGTATTCATCAAAAAAAACACATTAATTTGGATATCATTAAATCAAAAGACTCCATGTTATCTTGGAATAAACCGTTCAATATTCAAATATTATTGATTTTTCAAAAGATTACTTAAAAGCCCTAGAAAATCATTTTATTACTACAAACAGAAATTGATTTTCTCGTTTAAACAAGTAAGTGATTTAAAAAGTATCCAAGTATAGTTTCTAAATGTGCAGTTTGTTTAAATCAATACTTACATGGACACTATTCACGAGTAGATCGTGTTGTAGTTTTGAAAAACAATATACAAATTATTATCGATTACATTCAGAGATTGGTTGTTTTGAATTTGACGGATTTCCTGCTACTACATTGTGAAAACAATCCTGAATTTATCAAGAACTAATCAATAACTCTACTGTAATTTTCGACAGTTACCTGTTTGAGGATTATTATCCAAAAAAGCAACAAGATAGTACAATAATCTGACTTGACCACACACGTATACACACACGTACACACACACGCACACACACACATCAATACATACAACTCCACATAGAGAATCTTATCAATGGCACGTGGAGCCGGTGGTCTACTAGATGGTGGATTTGTATTCAAATTAGGCAGATTATTTAAAACTCCTTATGGTGGCGAAGGTGTTGACTTTATTGATCAATTAAATTATCAATTTACTGGTGGACTAATGGTGATATTTATAGCAATTATCAGTTTTCGACAATATGTTGGTAAGTTGTTCTGTTCTATTCTATTCTGTTCTGTTTTGTTTTCGATAAATATTTACGATTGTTATTTAGTAAGTTTTAAAATTTAATTATACTTTGTAATATTGATTTATTTTTATTTTTAGAAAAAAAATAGTTTTATTTTTAATTTTTCAAATATCTTTTTCTCTCCTAAAATACAGTTTATGGTGTAAATTGAATTTAAGATATAAATTTGCATTACGTTGTACTGACTGTCTTAATTTTAAGAACAGAAATAGCATTTAGATGAACGGAAAATAAAATCGATCTTCTCTCTCAAAGAAGCTTGGATTTCAAGGGAGAGGCTGTGATGCTGGAGCACTGTTACTATTACAATCTTCAAGATGAATATGACAACTTTAAACAAGCATTATTCAAGATTTTTTATTTTCAAATAAAATGACTAATATTTATACCTTTTATTATGGAGTTGTGAAGATTGTTGAATTTCATTAGAATCATGAATTGATCATTGTCCGATCACTATTATAAACCTGGAAGTATTGAATAGGATGTTTTGCTCTAGCACGGGACTCATCAGCCGCGCATAAGACCGAAAGTCCTATGTTCGAGTTCTCCAAGCAGGCATTGTAGATGTACACTGCTATTGATTCCTATACTAGCAGAAAACGGTTATTCAGTGCTTCCAGAATCCTAATAGTAGTGATCTAACATTCATCGATTCATGAGGGGAAAATTTTATATTTATTACTCTCAACGATTGAACTTTAAATAAACTGAACATTTTACTCAACAATATTTTATTAAACACGATAATTATCGGATATTAATATACAATTCACTGATTATCTGTAAGCTACATATTAAAATGTTGGATTTTCTTAAAGTTTAATCACTGAAACTTACAAATGCAAGTCTCTCCTTTAATATTCTAGGCACCTAAATACTATAAAACTATTTGTTCAAATTGAAACGAATCATATCACTTAGTGACTAGAATTTTCTTTCAAACAAAAATTTAGTAAACTATAATTTAAATTTTTTTTCTGAAAAAATATCATCAATGTTTCTTTCTATGTAAATATATATAAGAGAATGAACATTTTCAAACACTTAAGTTGACATTCACAAAAACAATAAAACCTATAATTCATTTTTTTTTCATAAAAAAAGAACCCTACTCTAATCATCGATTACCATCAATCACTTTTCTTTTTTTTGGGAAACCGGATGTAATCTTCTTTCGTAAGTAAGCACAATGTGAGTAAAGACTAAATGGACGAGTAAATAATAACGAATGAGTGAGTGAGTGAGTGAGTGAGTGGAATGAACAAATGAATTGAATGAATTGAATGAATGAATGAATGAATTCCAATGAATAAATTAGTGGTACACGCAAAACATTGAACATTGAACATTGAACGATAAATGAAACATTCAATGAAATTTTGTGACATGATTATTCATCTATTTTTTGTTCTCCTCGGACTAAAAATAAACAAACAAACAAATATCAAGGATATTTCTCGAAAAAATAAACAAAAAATTAAGTATATATATATATATATATATATATATATATATATATATATATATATATTACTAGAATAGTTTAAATAAAACGAATTAAAATTAGTAATAAAAATGCTTTTTGGAGACAATAAATTAAAACACTGAAGAATGAACATTGTACATTCCATGTGTATGTATATAAATATATATATATACATCTATATAGCGAAATGAAACACACAGCATTGGCTGAAATATGTAGCTTAATTTCTGAGGGATACTTATACTATATGTATGGTATGATTAACACCTTGTTATTTCGTTTAGTTAAAAAAAATAATTTTTTAATACATGACACATAGATATATATCATTGAACATTGAATGAATAATGTTCACTCACACACATATATATATATGGATAAATTTGTGATTAGAATTTTCAAAAAATAACAAAATACTGATGTGAAAAAATATGAGGAAAAAAATTAATGGATATATACCGACAAAAGAATTGAAAATATTACTTTTTTTAACATTATTAGTAATAGTAGTAATAATAGTAGTAGTAGTAGTAGTATTAGTAGTAGTAGTAATATTAGTAGTAGTAGTAGTAGTAGTAGTATTGGCCGAGATAGGGATATCTATTCTGATAGAAGATTTTCACTAATGGCTCTTCTAAGTTGATCTAAATTTTGGATTTGTTAAGCGAGAAAATGTTTCTTTACTCTTCCTTATATAAACATCTATCTATATGTAAATATATGTGTGTAGTTTCTTCTTGTTTAACGAAATAAAATTAGTGTTTTAAAAATAGTGTACTGATATGTAAAACAAGTGAATAAGTGTTTTGTTTTTTATTATTATTTCAACAAGATTCAAGTCGTCAATGTTCAATTTTCAAGATTGATTTTTTTTTACTTACTGGCAGAGGTTTTTTTTCTTTTCCCTTTTTTAAACTTTTAAAAAATTATATAATTTTGATATTTTTCTTAAGATAAAAATCACAAAATTCTTCAAATACCTTCTTATTTAACTTCTAGAAATCGATGGTTATAAAAATGTTCAATGTTTCATGGGAAAAATTTAATTTAATTAACCATTAATGAAAAGAAACTTGAACTTTTGAGTTAACTAACTTGTGGTGACATATTATCGATCTTAATAAACATTAACTATGATCTGAATAGCTCAAGCAAAATAACATGTGAGATTATGAAATTGAAGTTGACGCTAATTCACATCTTACGCAAAGCATTAATTCCTCCATAAACACATGTTAACCTCAGCGATTAGTTCCAATCAGCGAGAAATTAAGGTGGCAGATCTTCTAATCTAAATTCAAAAAAACATTTCATTATAGATTTATTCATCTTGTAGACTGCCCTCATTATTATGACAATAAGTTAATCATTGTGTAGTAGTGCTCATAGAAGATGAATAAAGCAACCTTGTATCCTATAATAGATTATTAAATCATTTTACAACTACCAACTACTATCTGATAGTTAAATGTGTAAAAAAAAAAATAACTCATAATCTTGTCATCTATTCTAATAAAATTGACTTTATTATAAATAAATAGTGTAAAAATATCTTTCTTATTTAAACAACTTTTTACAATTGTTTACAGTTGTTGACATAGTAACCAGTGTACATCAGGCATATTTATATCTATGTAAATATAACTTGAGAGAAAGAGACAAATATATATATATTTATTTTCAAGTTTTATTTTTAATTTTCATTGTATCAATAATAATAATAATAATAATAATAATAATTTGATTAAAACAAACGATCATATTTTAACTTACGGTTGAATTGTTTCAATAATGTAAAGGATGAATAATTATCATACTATTTATTCATTTATTCATTCATTCATTCAAAAACTTATACTCTGTTTTTCAATAAATAAAACAAAGAAATAAGTAAATACAAATGTATACATACTTTCATCATTGATCAATCAAATATTTTCAAAATTGAAAATTAAAATTAATGAAATGTTGTTGTTGTTGTTGTTGCCAGTTAGTTAGTTAGTTCATTTTAAACAAAAGAAAGATTTTTATTGAGTGAAAGAAAAAAAATTTGAACAACTTAATAATCATATTGTTTTTATAAATAGAAATTATTCAATCAAAATATCTTTATTGTGTAAATCAAGTGTATGACAATATAGTTTATAGTATATGTATGTTGATATATTTTTTTTTCCAGTGTCATTGCTGACTGTATAGTAAAATTAAAATAGTTCATTGATTGATATACATGTAGAATAATTTTAGTTCATTAATAAATGTAATCAACTTTGATCTGATAAATAACTTGTTAAGAGAATTCAATTCACGGATAGAAAATCATTGTAAAGCTAACATTACTTGCATACTTACACGACTCTTACCCAGGATGTAGCACAGGCCTGAAACTAACATTCTCTAACCTACTCTGTCCTGAGCATTCTTTTCTAGTTCTTCTACCTAATTGCTGTTCATTCTTTTCATGTGTGCTTCCAATTCTCGGTGTAATGTGTTCTTTGGTGCTTTCTCTTCTCCTTTGATCTTGAGGTTTTCTAGTTACGATTTAACTCGTGACACAGTAGAGTGATTTCAGCAATGTTCTTTTCCTTAATTTCTAGCTCAACTGAAAATCTGGTTCGTTCTCTCTCGTAGTAGGTGTTGCTGATCATGTCTGACTGATGGATCTTGAGTAGACAACTGTTTATACACACCTGTTTCTTGTGGATTATGTCTTTCGTGGTTCTCCAAGTTTCCGATCCATACAATAAAACAGTATTGATAATCGGATTAAAAATTCTGACTTTGGTGTCGGTTCATAGTTGTTTTGAGTTGCAAATGTTCTTCAATTATAGAAATACTGCCCTCCTTTTGCAAATCCATGCCTTAACATCTCCATCAGATCCACGTTGCTCATCTGTGATGCTGCCCAAATAAGTATGCAAAGGTTTCTAGATCCTCCGAACTTCCTCCATTAAGTGTGGTTAGGCTGGTGTATGTTGTTTTGCTTGTGTTACTTTTTCCTTTGATACCTGCTGCTGCAAAGGATCCTGCTACACTAATCGTCTTCTCTTGCATTTGTTGTTGAATGTGTGATAGAAGAGCCAGATCATCTCCGAAGTCTAGATCGTCAAGCTACCCCCTAGCTCTCCACTATATTCCATGCTTCCCTCCAGATGTTATTATCTTCATAACCCAATCGATCACCAGAAGAAAGCGAAAGGTTAAGAGTAAGCATCTTTACTTGACATCAGTCTAATATTCTGTTTCATGAATAAATATTCATATTATGACTTAAACAATTACCACTGAATAAAATCAACAGCAAAAAAAATTTGTTTTAGTCAAATATAAACTATCATGTAGAATTTAATTTTCATTCAATATTGAATAAAAGGATTTTTTTTCATTAAGTCAGTAATTTATTTTTACTCATTGATTAAATAAAAAGCATAAAAACACTTTTTTTTCATGGTCATTGTCAGCCTCG